GGTGGCATACTGACGTCATTTGGCAACAGAAAAAACAAGACTTTAGGTTTTTTTTTCACCACTCAACCTGCAGATTGACTGTATTAATGGACATTTAAGTAAATAGTCATAGACCTAATGAACGACAAAAACGAACGATTGGAGATTCCGGTTACAAGACCAAGAGCGCCGAAAGGGTTCTGTAGTGGCCACCAAGGCTACAGCGGAAAATGTACCTTTTTTGTTTACAGAGGAGCAAAGCCGACTTGGGAATAACACTTTCTTTCGAGGGATACATAGTATTCATCGTGAGCGTCAGAATGGCCGGTCACTACTCATATTTTACATCGAAATAATTATAAAAAGTTGCTACCTAGTTGCTTCTAGTTGCTACTAATCGTTAAATAGTTGCTACCCCCGATTAAAACAAAATAAACTACTTTTTAGGGTGACCAGCCATTCTGACGTCAGAATGGCTCGGTCACCTATCCAGTGAGAAGAAACTGCGTCACTAAATGGAGATTTTTTAAAGCAATAGTTGCTACTAGGTTGCTACCTTTATATATATCGTTATGGACCTCCCAGCTTTTAAGGATAAAGAGTTATAATCAATTGAGCGTTCAGACATTATTAAAACTGAACGCCTGTAGAATTATACGAGCAAATTCGAAATCAAGTGCATAATGGGTATTGCATAAGCAGGCGCTGCGTTTATTTATTTTAAAAGTTGTCTACTATACATTATGTGTAATGTATGTTTTTAGTTGTAATAATATAATGAATAATATTATTTTACCGTGCGAAACAAGATAAAATAATGTTAATTTCTGTATTGAGTTATTTTTGTTTATTTGTAAAAAATATTTCTGATGAGGGTAGGTAAGTTTTTACTTTATTATGCAGAACAGTCTACTTTTATTTCGGGTACAATTATCGCATTCAATGTTTGTATTGTTTTATTATAGTAAATTAATACCAATTGTTGAGGAGCTCGATGGCGCATTTGGCTGCGATTGTTGAAGTTAAGCAACATTCGCAATGGTCGATCATTGGATGGGTGACCGAAAATCTTCTATCTCGAGTTCCTCCGTGCTTCGAAAGGCACGTTAAGCTATTAGTCCCGGCTGCATCTGCAGTCGTTAGCACCCGCCAATCCGCACTGGGCCCGTGTGGTGGGTCATGGCCCAGTCTCCCAATGCTATCCATAGGGAAGGCCTGTGCCCCAGCAGTGGGGACATTAATAGATGATGAATACCAATTGAGCGGCACGCCGGGCTGTTGTAGTAGCGAGAAGTTACCGACCCGCACTTATTAGGTGGAGGGTCGAACGGAGGTGTCTTGACGATGGAAGTGGATTGTAGCTGGCGAAATAAAACTTCTCAAGATTCGTTGTCGAAGAAAGTCGGTGTGCGCTGTTAATGGATGTCCGGTAAGAAGTCTTCAAGATCCAGAGAGAACCGCTAATTATTCCTTCTTCTTATTAGTAGGAGCGCATGTCGCTGAATGACATAAACAAATCTCAGTACCAAACAAATCGCACCAGTAAAGTTAGTTTTAAACAATAATCACTATGAATTCATTTCAATTATTGAATTTGTTCCACCTGGATTTGGTGAAATGGGCCATTACAAGGCACATTGCAAACGTGGGAATATATGGCAGTGTTACAACGATCTGAATAATAGAATTACAAAAAGTAATAAGAAAGTAATGTGCTGTATAATATATTTAAAGAGAAGAAACACAACTTTTTTTTATTAAATTATTATTGTTAGTCAATATTTGTTTTATTTATTGCATTAATCACTTTAAATAAGTTTGGGTATTGCATAAGCAGGAAGTGGCGCCTGTTCAAGCAATACCCATTATGCACTTCATTTCGAATTTGCTCAAAAATTAAAATAAAGTTGTTTCTTCTCTTTAAATATATTATACAACACATAACTTTCTTGTTACTTTTTGTAATTCTATTATTCAGATCGTTGTAACACTGCCATATATTCCCACGTTTGCAATGTGCCTTGTAATGGCCCATTTCACCAAATCCAGGTGGAACAAATTCAATAATTGAAATGAATTCATAGAGATTATTGTTTAAAACTAACTTTACTTTTGCGATTTGTTTGGTACTAAGATTTGTTTATGTCATTCAGCGACATGCGCTCCTACTAATAAGAAGAAGGAATAATTAGCGGTTCTCCCTGGATCTTGAAGACTTCTTACCGGCCATCCATTACCAGCGCACACCGACTTTCTTCGACAACGAATCTTGAAAGGTTTTATTTCGCCAGCTACAGTCCACTTCCATCGTCAAGACACCTCCGTTCGACCCTCCACCTAATAAGTGCGGGTCGGTAACTTCTCGCTACTACGACAGCCCGGCGTGCCGCACAATTGGTATTCATTATCATCATCATCATCAGCCTATTAATGTCCCCACTGCTGGGGCACAGGCCTTCCCTATGGATGTAATAGGGAGATTGGGCCATGACCCATCACACGGGCCCAGTGCGGATTGGCGGGTGCTAACGACTGCAGATGCAGCCGAGACCAATAGCTTAACGTGCCTTTCGAAGCACGGAGGAACTCGAGATAGAAGATTTTCGGTCACCCATCCAATGATCGACCATTGCGAATGTTGCTTAACTTCAACAATCGCAGCCAAATGCGCTAGCGCCATCGAGCTCTTGGTAATTGGTATTAATTTACTATAATAAAACAATACAGACATTGAATGCGATAATTGTACCAGAAATAACAGTAGACTGTTCTGCATAATAAAGTCAAAATTTACCTACCCTCATCAGAAATATTTTTTACAAACAAACAAAAATAACTCAATACAAAAATTAACAATTATTTTGTCTTGTTTCGCACGGTAAAATAATATTATTCATTATATTATTACAAATAAAAACATAAATTACATAATGTATAGTAGACAACTTTTAAAATAAATTCTATTACGCAGCGCCTGCTTATGCAGTACCCATTAGGCACTTGATTTCGAATTTGCTGGTATAATTCTACAGGCGTTCAGTTTTAATAATGTCTGAACGCTCAATTAATTATAACTCTTTGTCCTTAAAAGCTAGGAGGTCCTAAACGATATATATTAAGGTAGCAACCTAGTAGCAACTATTGCTTTAAAAAAATCTCTATTTAGTTACGCAGTTTGTTCTCACTGGATAGGTGACCAGCCATTCTGACGTCAGAATGGCTGGTCACCTTAAAAAGTAGTTTATTTTGTTTTAATCGGGGGTAGCAACTATATAACGATTAGTAGCAACTAGAAGCAACTAGGTAGCAACTTCCTATAATTATTTCGATGTAAAATATGGGTAGTGACCGGCCATTCTGACGCTCACAAAATATGGGTAGTGACCGGCCATTCTGACGCTCACTATTCAGTGTTTGTTGTTGTTCGGTTGTTAATCCGGTCAAGAGTAGCCCGGATGCACACTACAATACAGCATACTGTTTTAAAATTTCTAGAACAACCGAGTTTGGGCGTGGCTTTATAAGGTTCTTTCTAGCACGACAGGCATAGGTATTTCAAAGATCTTGGAGGAAACTGGAAAAATGGCGTAAAAAGCAAATTTTTCTAAGCTCTTAATACAATTTTGAAATGAATTATAACACAGGTTTTTGTTCCATTGCGCTAGAAGTATTTTTCTCAGCACGATCATCATATCACCTAGATCTCTAGTTGGAGAAAATTTTCAAAACAGTGGTAAATGATAGTACAGAAACCTGACGTTTTTTAACCGTCTAAAGATATTAGAAAAACATCCATTGTGGTGGCAGGAAGTACCCGTCTGACATCAACCTAAATAAGAAGTTTGGGGTTCCTAGGAGTGATTAGAATGAAACAACGAATGCTTTGTAATATTATTACAGAAATGCTTTATTATAATTAATGTCTAAATAGATGGATCATCATATAAATGTTATCTAGTACAACCTACAAGACGGGGCGGCCGGAGCGGCGCCGAGTCAGACCGCGCCGCCCTTGACGCCTCGCCTTATTCCATCACATACAGGTTTTACAAATCATTTTGTTAACGTTTTTTTTGTACAGCCATATACAATAATTTTATTTTCAATTACATCTAGACGTAAAAAATTTGAGGTGTCGTAGGAAACTACGCTTCCTATAAAAAATTAATTACACAGGGGGAATGAGGAGCAGCTACGCTTGTGACGTGCAACCGGCAAGGTAGACCTCGGGACTACAACTATCAGTACAGGACTTTACAATCATCACTATAACCTACGCTACAACATAAGCATCGCCCGCTCGATAAGCGCTTGCTCCGAACTCCGTCGGAGTCTCATTAACTAAATAACTTAATTACATAAAAATATACAAAAATATCATTTTCACAAAATTATAATCGACGTACTATACACTCCGGCACTAAATATTCGATAAACTATGTACGATTTTAAAGCCGGTTTTATAACTTAAACGAGAGCTTGACTTGAAGAATAGTAACAAAATAATAATTATTATCACGACTATAGTGCCGATTGTCTAGAACTGCCTGCGGCATTTCTTCATCACTTTCGAAGATTCAAGGTCCCCTAGCCCAGCTAATAGTAAATCTACAACGAGCTAAATTAAGGAATCGCACGTGTCCTTCAGACCGCTTGCATTCCATCGATTCATAAATTACACGAGAATGAGAGACGTTCAAATATTTATACATAGATTCATACGAACAACGAATAATACTAGAACACTTACGAGCTAGGAACGCAATAAACGCTATGCCGCGGTGACGCGACGGCCGAGCACCGGAGTCGGCGTCGACGCTGTACAACTATTGTTACAGTATACAGTATATCGTATCGTTCTGTACATCAGTCTGCCGCTACCTATGTACAGGCGCGCACGGGGCGACGAGCTCTATAGTTACAAATGTACAATCGCAATATTCACAAAATTTATAATAGGCGGGGAGGATACCCGCGCCGTCGCATCAGCCTAGCCCGCGGACGTTAATACTTTACACAGACTACAAGACGGGGTTGGGCGGCGGCGGGCCGATGGGGCCGAGCTCGGGCGCCTTCATGAAGAACTTCTCGAGCTTGGCGATGATGTGCTTGCCGTACGTGTACTTGCGCAGCGAGCCGATGTGCGGCCGGATCTTGTGCATCAGCACCTTGCGCTGCGTCGGCTCCGCCACGTCGATCATCTTCTGCACCACGTAGTTAGCGTACTGGTCCTTCATCATCACGTGGAGAGCACTGAAAAATGCACGACTACGCTCAATTTTACAGACCGACAGGCGAATTGATAGAAGGCAACTCATACAGATAAGATACTAAGGCCCACTTGCAGCAAATCAACTCAATGTTGGTTCAACTAAAACCAAATTTAACTCAAAGAAAATACATTATTTTGTGGGCTAAATCTAGTTATAGTTAAATTATAATTTAGCATAATTTCTGCAAGTGGACCTAAGAGACAAATTATTGTATAAAAATGCGGGTGGCGACAAGAACAAAACGAATTTGATTCGCTTCTTTTATTTACTACACATTAACATGATATGGTACATAAACGCAATATGGTTCACTTGATATTAAAACACGTATATTTTTATAAATTTTCTTGGCCACTGGCGATACAAAGTTAAATTTGATTACTTTATGGCAGTTACAGTTAACAGAACAGAAGAAAACATTATATTCTGTGACGATGCGATACGTTTACGGAGCTTTAAATACATACTATGCGATTCAAATAAAAATAGGAAAGCTAATGTCAAATGTCGCTTCAAAATTACGATTTGCATAAAATCTTGGAATACTTTTTTTTACGCACTAAGCTAATCTTAGAATATATATATCTGTAATACCAAACATTTGTAAACAAAAGGACATAAATCAACTGTAACGTAAAGAAAATGAGTACTGGAAAAGGGAAGTATAAAACATTAGTTTTATTATTATAAATACAGGTAAAAGACCTTTTTTTACCCGACTGCGCAATTCAAGAGCGCGAAGCGCGACGCGCAGACAGGGTATAGTGTTTAACAGTCTATATATGTATGTTTGTTCCTTTGTGGCACACACAGACATATAATACTATAGCAGACGGAACATAAAACCTAGTTATATTTATGAATCAAAACATGATCTTTTACCCCTTTTGTACTCAGCTACAACTCGATAGTGGCATCTCATTCTTCCATCTATTGCAATACTGACTCACACATCAACAAATGTCAACGCGTGTCAGTTTTATTCCTCGCCGCCATTTTAGTCATGACTTATCGGACATGCGACTTTTCGGTGTTTATTAAGAATATTGCTTTGATGAAACTATATTACAAAACGAGATTATTCAATTACTATGGTCAAGTACAGTGCGTATCGATGTGAAAGTGCTATCTACAATAGAACACCAGGATTAACGTTTCATCAGTAAGTTTTTATGTGTCTTTGTTGTGTACTGAAATGTCTTTGAGTCTTTTCGAAGCTTATTTAAATATTATCGTAACATGTAACATTTTTTACGTAGGATTATTTATCTAAGATACTACCGGTGAAAACTAATATCCTAAAGTAAAGAAATAGAAGTAATTAGGATAAATCATGATAGGAAATTCCAATTCTGACAACTGAAGTACTGTTGCCATAACAGAGGACGGACTCGGTATCAAAGACAAAAAGTTTTTCGGCATTAATTTTGTTTGCATTGCATTGTATTTTGAATGTGAATGCAATCAAGAACGTAAATAGATAGGTACCTATTACAGACTACCTATTCATATTTCTTGGAACATTGGCATCGGTAGGTATATTACCCAAATAACCACTTAAACAATTTTGTTCTAGGTTTCCAAAGGATGAAAGTACTCGAAATGCATGGTTATTAAAATATATGAAACTTCAGGATTGGCAACCAAATACTTATAGTGTTAGTGTTTTTGTTTTAAAATAAACAAAAGTAATGATTTTAACAGTTTGATTAAATTCATTTCATGTGATTATGTCTATTATTCAATATTTGACTCGAACAATCCAGATCATGACATAAACCATGTCCACTCGCTTATTAAGGTTGTTGTCAAATTTTATTTTGATCTTAGATGTAAACATCAATGTAAAGAAACAAATGTATCTCAGAGAAATTTTCTAAAAAAACTTGTATAATTTCAAAATAAATAGATAAAAACTATGCCTTAAATTTTTATTTCAATTTTCCTAATTGTACCTATGGCCTTTCCATGGGTTAATTCTATCTCCGTGCTCAATTTCATCATTATCGGTTCAGCGATTTCGCCTGGCTAAATTCGCCATGAAGATATTAAACAGACAGATTTTTACATTTATAATATTATTAGCATGGACATCACATTAGCACCTATCTATTCGGATAGGTATTTCATGAAACAATAATGAAATCCATTATTCTACTATACTAAATGCGCCCCATGCTTTGGCGAGTTTTAATGTGTGTGTATTTGCCACGCTGTTTAAAACTGAATGTTCCGTCTGCTACTAGTTATATGTCTGTGGTGGCACACTATTTATTTTACATAAAGTTGTCGTTTTAAAACCTACAATAATCGATATTTTATTTTATATCCGAAAACAGCAGTGATGATGATGACTACTCCGACGGTAGTGCAGAGATGAGCGGAATTAAAGAGCTAGAGCTCTGATTAATGATTTTTCTCACTCAGTCTTAATAAATAAATATTATTAAAAATCTGATATTTTTTGCTCACTTAATCTTTGTAAATAAGTTTTATTAAAGCAAACTTTTTTGCTCACTCTACCTAACTGGTTTGAATTGACGGCTATGACTTCACAAAATGGCGCGCAGTCAATCCTATTCTTAGTTGAATCGCATTATATAATGTTACATATATAAGTAAGTATATTTTATCTAGAATTATATATAAACATCCATGACTAAGGTACAAATGCTCGTATTCATTATACTAACATTTGCCCTCACCGGGATTCGAACCCAGGACATCTGAGTAGGCGCGACACCTTGAAACCCTCCCTTGTTACATATATTCCTACTAATATATCACCATAGCAGGGTTTGTTAATATTTAAATCGTTATCGCGACTCTTTCTTTCTTTAACAAATTATTCACAGTTAATCAAGAAACCCTTAAAAACACTTAACCCCACTGGTGGCGATAAATGGATTAAAATATCCAATTATCTCTACCAGTGCGGATCAGTAGGGATATATGGAATAGAAAGTTCCATATATCCCAACTGGTAGCGATAAATGAAAAACTCCAAGTAACCCTACTAGTGAAGATATGTCAGTATGGATATATGGAACAGGGGGAAACCGGCGGCTACAAAGGTCTTCCCTGACCACCCAGGTAAACAGGTCAGGTGGTTGGCTAGGAATAAGGGGCCGGGGCACTACTGACTTGTCGTTGAAGCCGCACAGCTCGTCGATGAGCAGCGCGCGCTCGTTGCGCGTGGCGTGCGTGACGCACTTCTCGACCACGTTGGAGGCGAACTTGTGCTGCGACAGCTGCAACACCTTGCCGCGCACGCCGGCCACCAGCCGGGCGCGGTCCTCCGCCGCGCCGTGTTCGAGGACGTGCTGCACCACGTAGTTGCCGTACTGGTCCTGGTGGAGTAACACGAGTCATTGTTAGTACACTACAGCGGAGATTACAATCAATTCTTTTTTTTTAGTTCAAAAGTACGATTGTAGTGAAGGCAAGTCCCCTTAACACGAACCAATATCGAATTCAAATAGTTGAATTTGGTCACGATACGCGTTAAATGTCAAAAAGTTTTGTATGGAAATTAGAACAGCGCCACAACGGACGTAACGAGAGTTAAAAATCTTACATACAAATATTTATTACCATTTGACACGTATCGAGATCAATTTGAACTATTCGAATTCGACGAACGCACGAACCATATTCTCATATTACGAATGTTATGGTTTCAAAATTCGAGTCGTTTAAAATAAACGAGTTTCTGGTTCACTCACCCGATTTACACTTGGCCGCGCACTCGCCACGTGATTGTCCGCGAATGGACATCAAGCCACCCCGATGAAGATGCATAGTAAGTATTAGGGGCTGCGACATCCAGAGAGCTTGTGCAGGGTGGCATATATCTGGCCAGCACAGGCGCGGTCTGATCGGGCGTGCAGTGCTCCGGGATCCACTGGATGACGCGGCATCGTACGGATGATATCGTGCAGTATACAGAGTGCAGTGCGGTATATACCTGGATCAGCTGGTCTGTGTGCGCGTGCAGCTCGGCCAGCACGGGTGCAGTCTGGTCGGGCGTGCAGTGCTCCAGGATGCGCTGGATGACGCGGCACCCGTACGGATGCGTGGACAGCGCGTACACTTGCCCCGCGAACGCGTTGATTATGAACTGCAGCGCTGTGGGCTCCACGCACTCTATGCATTTCTGCACCTGGAATAGTCATGTGACCGGGTTAGTGTAAGTTTACGTGAAACCTGATTTAGTCTTGTGACCGGGTTACTGTAAATTTATTCAATAAAATGGTGTACACACAATACATTGCTGATCAATAATTATGATAACTTGCCAGTGCGTGCTATTTAGGGCTTTTAGAGCTCAAATCAACCCCTCATTTACAGTTTTAAACAGAAATAAATGAAGCGAACTTATCTACAATCACGAGCGTGGTACGCGGAACATAATACGGAATTCCGGTACATGGACTCATGCGCAATAGGCTAGTTGACTTGTGTCAAATCGCACTATACAAATGTTTATTTCTTATAATGTTTGATATGAGGAACCTAAATTTATCGACTTCATAAAATTAGAAGATGGCTGTTTGAAAATGGTGTTTTAGTCTATGCTTTTTAAATACTCAAAACGCTGTCCACCATGATTGTGACGTCAACAAATTAGTAAATGTGTCAGTGAACAACTAAATGTTATTGTCGTGTTACTGTGGTGTGATTCGTCGGACTAAAATATATCTAAAAACTCTTACAACTTGTAGAAAAAAATCTGTTTATTGGTTTTGTTGACTAAATTAATGCTGGACGCCGGATTTGTGAAAGCAGAAACGACAAAACTCTTTGAATTAGTAGGTACATTCATAACCTTAAAAATTGTGTTTCTTAACTTTAAATATTATTCAATTAGTACTCAAATTAAAGTGATCTTTGCTTAAAGAAATGACTTTCAGACGGTAAAAAACTAAAATATTGACAATTATTATATATATCATGAAATCTATTAGAAATCATGATTTTATAAAATAAATTTAGATTCATGTTATTTCCTACGTGCTTCCAAATGTTTGTTTACGATTTTTTTGACATTATAGCATAGATAATCTATAGACTAAAATGGCCGACAGCGTTTTTGTGTGTCCATGAAAAATCTATTTTAAAATAAACTTTTGTAGCATTGTAGGTCAAAAAAATACAATTCGTTTTTTTCGGTCTAATAGAACAATTATTAACCATTTAAAACATATTTCCAAAAAGTGTCAAGTAGCCCATTGTGCGTCCGTCGTACGAGTCCAAACCTCAGCTCTAGTTACGCGAAATCGCGTGAATTAAAGTGCTTCGGTGAGAAAACCGAGTAAATTAACTTTGTCTGGATATGATATTAGTAAATTAAATAGAAATATATTGTTTGAACAGAATACAAATAGAGATTTGTGTCATAGTGTTTTCTGAAAATTCATTTGACAATAAAAAAGTTTATTAAAGTAAATACAAGAAGTTTCAATAGAACAAGTGAGGTTCACTTTTCGCTACATGTCTGCGACACTTTTTGCTACTCTTCTGCGACAGACAAGTAGATCATATTATATCGATAGAAAGATTTATCTGTGTATCTATCATGTTGTGATTTAAGTTTCTGTTTGAGGTTAGAAGTCCGTTTATATCCTGCTCTTGTATGAATCTAATCTATGGTCCGTCGGGGCGTTGGTCAAGGGAACTAATTTTTTGAGCTGTTATTTAAATATTCGAGATGTTATTATGATCAGTTGAAAAACATATTAAGCAGTTATTTTTATTTTAGCTGCTACTAACTACTAAGCAAATTCTACGTCATTTTAATTACTTAAGTATGTTTCGAATTACGAATAAAAGTTCCTATTATTATTATACAATTTGTTTTATTTAATTCTTTCAGTCAATGCAAAAGTAATTGAATTTTTGATTACTATTTAAGTACTGCTTTTTATTTTATTTTACCGCCTCATTGGTGTCGATTCTAGCGTCATTCTCTAAACTTAAAACTAAATTTAACATCAGTCTCTCCTTTTCATTCTGTATAGAGAATGACAAGGATGCACTGTTGTCAATTTTAAGTTTAGCTTTAGAGAATCATGCCAGAATCGACATCATTGTTTATAGAATTGCTTAGAATGAGATTTCTTACTGACAAATTCAGATTTATTACTGCCCACACGTAACCGCTCGTTCAATAATTTTTACCTTTCTTTTGATCCATTTCATTTTTTTTATTCCTAATTTAGTTTACTTTACTACTTAGTTTTAACTGCTGAACTAGTTATTAAAACGTGCCATTTATAATTTTTATCTTACCAAAACTGCTATTTACAACTGCCTCTTTAAAGCAGTGCTGTTGGTTAATAGCAATTTGCTAAGAGTAATCTGTGATCCACATGACCAAAAATCTGTCGCCTCTGCGATGCAAATACCGAACTGCATGGCGAACCTGACATGCTCTAAATCTCAATGGGTAAAAGAAAGAGCACGCACCACGTGGTTCCCGTTCTGGTCCTTGACGCACTTGAGCACATGCCCGTCGAGCTCACGCACAACTTCCTGCTGCTGCTCCGCAGGGATGGACTCCAGCGCCTTCTGGATGACGCGGCACCCGTACATCTGGAGTGCCAGCGCCAGTACATGACCTCGCACCTTTTAATCACACAAACCAAAACACATTATTGAACGCCATTCACGCAAAATTCTGTCGAGAAAGTTTATTTGCGAATTTCCTGTTGAAGCTGATAAAGCAGTTTTTTGAAATAAGTAACTATAAAGTAATAAATTACAGATATCATTTTCTTCTAATGACACGATTTTTTATTTAAAACTTAATTATGACAATACGCTATGCAATGACTTTATCAGCCGCGATACGAATTTCGCTATGTGGTCTTTCTTGTGGTTGCCATAACGCGTCGTGATCGTTTTCATTGGAGCCCCAACACGAATTTTGCCATGTTTACTGTGTTCATAACGTTTGTGGGCTATTTTTTCACTCAATGAGCGTTTTTGGTTTTTGAGTGTAATTTTTTTTTTGTTTTTGTTTTTATTCACGAGCTTTTCCTTATGCACACTATAGTAGGGGAGCCTAAGATGCTAATAGGGATTTACTCGAGCGTCGTGGGAACCTATTGGATTGTGAAGGTTAGATGCTAAATAGAAAAAGTTTATATGATGTATAACCCTTTCATTGTTGGAGGGAAGTGTAGAGTACAGGTATTCAATAAAGTAAAAAGAAAGTCACAAATAAATATTCAAGCACCTCAAATATATTATTAATAGTGTGTACGCCCAACGGGATTCTGATAACGGAACAATATTAATCCATTTTGCATGGTGAGAGTGGATGTACGAAGGGGTAGGAAATAGAAAAAAAATGAGCGCGTTAGCCGTGGAGAAGGGATGTGATGTGAACAATTCAGTAGCTGCTATTCAAAAGACAAATGATTTGGCTTCGACCAAAAGTCCAGGCCGATTTTTGAAAAAGCAAATATAAAATATCGCCTATTGTGAGAAACCCACATTCGTGTTTGATACCCCTCATTATATAACAGTTGCATAAATAACTAGTATATATTATAAGCCATACAAGCTGACGGGTCAACTGATGGTGTAATCCAATATCCCTACTATCTATAGCCTGTTCCAAACGAATTTAGACCAAAGGTAAACACTACCCTCTCAATTCCAACGCAATGAATCACTAAATCGATTTCTACACAATTTGCATTCCTAGGGGTTTGACATATTAATTCACTAGCTTTTATAGAACTAATTTCTTTATTAATTTATAAAAAATCATGAATAAAAACGAGTTAAAAAGTATGGTTATTTTGGCAGTTGGGAATTGTCTGTATAGTTGACAGTGTTGCACCGAAGTCTATTCAAACTTATGTCAATTGATGTTAATAATCGAATAGTGAATCGATTAAATAAATGGTTATAGGCTAAAAAATCATCTCATTTTTATCAGTTATCCAACATATGCAAAATTTATTTGTTTGATATACTTAGGTTAATTTCTCTATATAATAATAAATAAAATTATTTACATTTGTATAATAATCGTAAGAGTCAACTGTTGAATGAAGTAACTAAACTGAATGCAGGACGTTCAACAGGATAATGCTGCGAGCTCGCTAGCCGATGAACCTAGATATTTAATGAATCATGCAAACCAATCGTTCAAAAAGAGTTTTATGATGTAACGAAATATAGTTAACCAAACACAGGTAACAACCGGAGCTCGTTTTGAGTAATGACGATAAAAATATATTAATTGTACAAATTAAGCCATTACATTTTTAACAATTTCTAAGAATATGATCATTCAATTGTGCAATTGATTTTTTTCATAAGGCTCTATGAATCCCCAACACTAAACTGTCTATGGTTAGACTTGCCTACCTGTTTGTTTACTTTTGGTCTAAATTCGTTTGAAACAGACTATAGCTAATATGGTGTCTTATAGTACAGGCTGTCATAGAAACTCAAACAGTACAAAGTAATTCACTCCTCAGTCACTTCGACAGCATGTTTACAATCAGGTGACGTTATTTTAGGCTACGCCAATCTTAAACGTTTTCTATCACGTGACAATAGATGAAAAAATGTAATATTATCAACTCCTATTTTTGTAAATATAGTGACATCGCACCCAACATTCATGTTAAATACACATTTAAATAATCGGTACTTTAATTTTTATACTGTAAAATAGCCTAATGTTTAAACCATAGAATAGTGCTTAATTCCACTTCTTCATGCCATCAAAAATATACGATACATATTGGCCACTTAATCGGCAAAAGAGACGGTTAAAATTTGTATATATTTGTGGACTGGTAGTGAGTCTCCGGCAGGCTCCAAATTTTATGACATGTAGGGCAATTAATTTTATTGTAAATCGTTTGACAAAAACTTAGAAACTATTTTATTCCCATTTTAATATAAATTATAAACTGGTATAATAAATTCACCACGTTTTCACGAATATCTTGCATAAATGGACTGCCTCACATTTATCGAGAGTGACAGAATAAAAATATGACGTGACTTACGACGAGGTGGTTAGAATTCTAAATTCTTCCATTAATTTTAGCGTTATCATTCAAACGAATAGAAAGCCACCTTTGTAGGCCCCAATTTAAGTTATGTATAAACCATACCAACCACCACCTGGGCGACCAGTTAAAGATTAAGCAAGTGAACCTGGTATCTATAAACTACCAACCAGATTTGATTTATATTATGTGTTTATGTTTATTCGTAGATGACGCAGATATTTAATCCAACCTTTATAGATTTTTAATATAACCTAGTCACATTTTACAAACAACACGATGCAAACGTAACAGACTTTGTTGGGAAACAAGTTATTCACACGCGATTGATATATTTTATCTTTTTACTTAAAAAAAATTGGTTAACAGTTTTTTTTTACCAATACCTTTTGCGCTAATGTTGTTTTCTGTTCCGTTGTACCAAACTCGAAGAACTTTTGTATCACATAATTTCCGAAAACGTCTGTCATAAGGCTGTATGCAGCGCCGATGATTTCATTGAATACCATTTGCTTCTCTTGTATTGTAGCCCTTTCTAATTTTTGTTGTATAAATCTGCAAACAAAAAGGTATGCTTAATATATAGGTAGTAGTAGAGAGAGAGAGAGAGAGAGTAGAGTAGAGAGAGTAGAAGTTTTTAACCGAATACTTAATTAAACATCTTAGCCATGTATCAAGTCCTTAAAAGTGCATAGAAGGGTTCTTGAAAGCAAATTCATAAGACAACAAAAAAGTTACACATATTTTAATGATCATTAAAAAAAAACAGCAATTAATCCTCAAAAAAATACAATGGTAACCTAACCTTTAGGTTATCAAGTGTATTTTTAGGTGATCATTTATTATTTTATTGAGAATAATTTAAATATTTTTCCTAAAATTAATAATAAAGCGCAGCAGTAGATGACATTGAAACACTCATGCGAAAAATAAATAAAAGATTCATGTCAATATAAAGAAACTTCGTTCCAAAAAATAATTAAAATCTATAAAGTTTACTATCTTGAGCTCCGGAAGGCACGTTAAGCCCTAGGTCCCAACTGCATCTACAGTCGTTGGCACCCACCAATCCGCACTGTGTCCGTGTGGTGGGTCAAGGCCTAATCTCCTTATTCCATCCATAGGGACGGCCTGTGCTCCAACAGTAGGCACATAATGATGAAAGCGCTGACAATTAAAGTGAAGAGTTTGATTTCTGTTACCACCACAGTAGTGTAATCTCCTATTCCGACCATAGGGAAGACTTGGTGATGGCTGGGTTAAAAATGTAAGTGAACAGTTTTGTTAGTATGTGTGCTAGTGTTACCTAGAGCCGTGCTGGTCCTGCGAGAACTCGACGATGTGGTTGGCGAGGTCGCGCAGCTGCAGGTTGGGGAAGCGGTTGTTGCGGAAGTCCTCGAGCAGGCGCGAGCGGCCGGCGGCTGGTTTGTCGCCCACCAGCACGCCGACGCCGCCCACCCCGCTCACGCCGCCCACGCCCACGTGAGCGCCGCTCACCCCGCCCACCCCGCTCACGCCGCCGCCCACCAGTTCTAAAATGCAACCTCCTATTTTTAATCGACTTCAAAAACGTCTGCGCTAGGCTGAAGGAATTCCATATCTGAATTGATCTGATCTGATCAGGAAACCTTACGTGTGCCCAGTCTAAATGATAGTCGATGAATTTTCGCCTGTTCGCTTTGCTGCTATCACAATATTATCTTTGTTATTTGATTGTCTACTTTTCCAGAACAAATCTTATTTTTAGATTTCTACTATTAATGCGTATTGTCAGTTTTGTTTGTGTACATTTTGGTGCGAATAAAGTTTTATCTGTGTATCTTTCAGGGTCCATGAACTTCGGAACAATTTTTTTACAATAATATTCGATACGTTGCGTCCTGCCTATATGACAAAAATGACATATTATACAATAATCCGTTCAAATTAAACAGAAAAATAATTGTGAAGGTGCATAAATTTACATCAAGCTGGAAATTAGTAAAATTGTTCAAAACATAATTAAAAATAACATCAAGAAAATTTTACTAGGAAAAATTCCACGCGGACCAGGTAGCAGACGGGACTCGAACCCGTACCCTCCGCTATCCGGGCGGATGCACTGACCATTGTGCTACCTCGGCCCTGATGGCCGTGTCGAATTTTCTCTAGTATTTCTTAGGCTGCAATATACTTTATATTTAAACATCTAGCAGTTAAATGCTTCAAAGATAAAAATATAACTAAAAATTATTTTTCAACATTCCCCATCATTCTGGGATTAGAAAAAAAATTTACTCGAGGTTAAAGGTAAGGTACGCTAAAACTTACCTTTTCGATGAAAATTGCTTTTTTTTTAAGTACCGGAATGATGGGGAATTTTGAAATGTTATTTTTAATTAAGTTTTTGTAACAATTTTACTCACTTCCAGCTTGATGTAAATTTATGAACCTTTGAATGTCTAGATCGACCAAATCACAAGGTGTGGCCGAAAAATGCTATACACAATACAATAACTGGACGCACCTTTACATTTTTTGTATTTCTATCATATTCTTTAATGAATCAGTCGATTAAACCAGTGCAAAACATCGTTTTATATGGGTTAATTCCGTATGTTTATGCATATTCTTTATGCTTGCTCTATGCTCTATAAGTATGCATATGCGATGCGTCAGAACGTTAGGTAATTGTTTTATTTTTATACCATAATTGCCATTCAATTCGATTTAGACATAAATTATCATATTTTTTGCATTAATATTATTTAAGCTAATGCTTTAGTTGCTTCTTCTCAATAAAACCTGTCTAAAAGGCATGGTAGCAAAAAGGCGTGAATGTAAATAAGTTATTCGTGTGTCTTCTTATAATGTTTCTATTATAATATAACATTTCACGGTTTAAAACGCGTACTAAAGTATAGTTCCGTAGATTAAATTAGATTGAAAAAAAGAGATACAGTGCCGTCATTACTTTATTGTTGAACTGCTGAAGTTAAAAATTAACGAGTCATTATTAGCAAGTACTACATGAATAATACAAACATACACTTTGAAACTTTATATTTCAAGGGTTAAACCGTGTACTATAAGTAAAAGTTTTCGTACCTCCTATAAAGGAGGTGGGGATAACCCCACGTTTCGACCAGGTTACAAAGGTCGTGTTCACGGGGCGGGGTATACTTGCTGATGATAATTAAGATGTTAGTGTTTTGACTCGTTAATTTTTTACTGTAGCAGTTCAACAATAAAGTAATGATGGCAATGTATATCTGTTTACTGTTTTTTTAATCTAAATATATGTATAGATAATTTGAGACAGACATGATTGTAACATTATGATTGCATTACCCAACAAAAATTTACAAGTTGCAAATATAAATAAACCTCTAACTTAGTGTTTATGTATAGGTATTATATGATATGGTTTTAAATAATACAAAGCGAGAATAAATTAATATTTCTATGAAAAAGTGTCAATTCTTAAGCTTATGGTGATTATTTATTTACAATATATAGGTATAATAAGAAAAAAATATTATTCAGTGGTCCTACAAGACTAGTGCGTGTCTCACCTGAGATGGGACCCACTCCGCTTAATTTGCTGAGTAATGAGGATGAAGAGCCGAACATTCCATTGCTGGTAAGCCCTTGGGCTAAACTGCTTACAGCTCTGAAACGTTCATAGTAAAAGTTCTTGATATACGATTCCAATGTTGGTTAAAATGATATGCTATCGTGTTGTAAGAAAAATCATGCAAGTAGTCGTACTGTACAAGATTAAAATGTAATTATACACTGATATAAATTACTAAATAAATATTTACAATATACAACAATCATTCAAATCGATATGTACCAACTACGCCATTCCCACACAGAATTTGCTAAATCTAGATTTTAAAGAATTCCATCATTTAAAGTAGTCAAACCAAATCAAGGTATTTTAATAAAGAGGTGATATCGGAATACTAGGTATAGTCTAAAGATTAAAAAGGTTTTAACCGATTGATTCTTGTGAGCATACTTTTTAGGATACCTCTACGTGGCAATGGTTTTAAATGGTAGTAGTTAAGCAGTATTAGAGTATTTATCGAGGTGGGTGGTGTTGCACCTGTACTTGGCGGTCTCTGCGCCGGGCGCGGCGGAGACGGGCCGCAGCCCGACGGGCCCCAGCGCGGCCCCGAGCGGCGGCGACAGCGGCGAGGGGCCCCACTTGCGCGCGTACTCCTGCAGCGCCGCCGCCGGCCCGCCGCCGCCGAACTCCAGCGAGTCCCGCCGCGCACCACCCGCGCCTGCAACACGACATACCTCTGCGCTCCACACTCCGCTCAACCATACTGCCTCCCGAGACCGAGCTCTCCACACTCGCAGTCCCCTCACGTACTCTCTACCTTCTGTACACGACACCTTTGGTTCGATTTTAGTCTATGTACAAAATTATAGAAGTACGTAATAATATTTATACACTACACTTATACATACTTGCGCTCGTCAGTATTTAGATGCTAATGTGACAATGCGTTGCTTTTCAATGCTGTTTATATGCATAATAAAACAATTTATGTCAACAAGATTGATTAAAAAAAGAACTGACAAGAAACATACAACATTTTAAAAGTTTAAATTGAGCATTTAAATTTTTCTAAGACCCACTCTCACCAGTTCTTATATGAAATTAAAAATAAATTCATGTTCAAAGCTCATTACGTCACATATGTAGTAGATAAAGGAGGTGATGTGTAAAACTGGATAATTTTGAAGTCCATTTATTGGTGCAACATGCCCTTAGACTATTTTATTAGACGGTGTAATGTTAACAATACATCTCTCAAATGACATTTGTACTTCGATGAAAAAAGATAAATACAAGTTTTCTCTTCTACAAATAGCTGCAAATAAAAAAAAAAAATTTTTGTGGGATCTAACGCCAAAAATATTAATCTGGGATTCAATAGTGGGCTCCAACGACTATAATTCAATATAAGTACTTTTTTTTCTTCGTATTGGTATCTAGCTCATGACTAAATTGTTTTATTAAATAATATATTGCAAAAATACATGACGCATGCGCAGAATATATACAAAATACAAAAAATATACACATATTAAAGAAACTGATTATATATACAAGTTACTTTTACAAATTCTTTATTAAATATTTTACTAACTACGGAATTGGCTACAATGAAATAAAGTAAGCAAATATCCAGTTATAAATTTTACTTGTAATTTTGTTTACTATGTTGCCAAAGCAGGGTACCCACTTAGGTTTCGTAATTTAATAATAAAATCAACTTAGTATTCTTTCATCCTAATTGTTCAGCAACAAAGTATGGTTATAGAAGCTTAATGGCAAACAACAATTTTGGAAACAACAACACACTTCCATAACAAGAATATGATATAATACATTAATTCTTACGTGTTTAATTTACTATACGTCAGACTAAAATTATTTCTAAATTAAACAACTTCAATCGATATATTTACATAAATAACAATAACAAAAAAATTGTTTTGCCTTAATTTCTGGAATAAGGTGTTTTTTAATGACGAATGATTTAATGTTTTAAATGCTAATGGTTTGATGTTTGATCAGGATAGTAGTGACATTTGCGAAATAATTCCACTTCGGTAATTTCTGATTTGAAGGGCTTAAGGGGAAAAATAGGTTGTCAAATTATTAAAAATTTACAATACAAGCAATTAAAGTTACGACAGCATTTTATGACTGACTCAGAAAATCTAATTCTAATAGTATACTACAAGGACATGTAATAATTTTCTGAATAAAAATTGCACAATAACAAAAAATAACTGATATTTCATTAAAATACTCTTTAGTCTGGAAAAGAAGTAGGTAAAAAAAAATAGACAACGAGTTTTACCCTTTTTTGTGATAGCCAGATTGATAGTAAAATCTACTTAACCTATTTTATAATAATAATATCAGTAGGTATGCATCATAATACTTAATTTTCTAAACTAAACTTATATACTCGCGAGCAACCAAATCGACTCAGATGCGCATAAAGTATTTATATAAATAAAATTATCTGGTTATAGCGGGTCGAAATTAAGCTTGTTGGGAGGAAAAGTACCAGCTTAGAACAACAGCAACGCCTCCATTGCCAATTCATTGGCAGGGCAAAGGATGGGAGCAGATATATCGCCTCGCGTTCCATAAGTCGCACATCGTTCGAAATCAACGAGGTAATAATGTGTTTTATTTATTACCTTTAGATGACCTTTGCGGTATATGTATATATGGTATGGGTATCTACACCGGTTTCAAGGTGTCGCCTACCCTCAAGGCCGGAGGAACCCCGTTAGAACAAATGTTTGCATGATTGCATTTAAACCTGACTAATGGCAAATTATATATATTTCTACAAAGGCTTAATTGTATGTTATAGATCTTTTTATTGTTTAGGCTATAACATAATAAGAAAATAATTTTAACGTGGATGCCATTTTTATTATTGATGCATACCATTTGGATTGCAATAAACACAAGTTTTATGCTTATACAGATTTCGAAAACGCAAGGGCACGGTAGTTTAGAGAAAGTCGAATTGGAAACTCAACGGCACTCAATCTATGTAAATATGCAAGTTAATGAATTTTCGTACAATATTTCTGATTTATAAAAGCCAATGTAATAAAATATACTCTACGTTCATAGTTAACAACCTGAATTCAATATGCTAGCTGTCGTACGATAACGACGTACAGCAATAATCAAAATACAATCATCATGAACTGACCGTATCATTTAACATGGAATAATGGAATGAATATTTGAGGATGAGAAACGTTGAAAACAAAATTGTTTGTTCCGTTTATGCGTTATAACAAGGCGATGCATTGTAATTATAATTCTCTACTATCTTTTGGCAGGAAAATGAATTCATTCAAGCAAGACTTTACTAATTAAATAAATATACTTTTGCTAATGTTTTCATGTTATTTTTGGTGCACAGAAATTCTCAATTGTATGTGGCAAAATAGCATTAGCATATTATCTCAAAAGTTTCTGATAGTTCTATTAAAACTTTGAACATGGATCTCCGATAAAAGTTTCAGGCGACGTTTCGATTGATCAAGCACAAAAATTAATAAAATTTTAGTTACAATGAAATCTACTTTGTGTATAAGAATTATAATAAAAAAAGCTTACACTAAAGAATTACAAAATAAATAATTCATAATTTGATAATTTATCACAATTTGTAGGACATACCGATACACTGTTCCTTTAAATTAATTTGTGTATTTGAAGATAAAATTTTGAGTGTACGCGTACTTGAATACCAAAAATTATTTTTGCTCGATTGTATTTATAAAAGTACACAATTTAAATACGATAAGCATTTTTTTACCGATTATACAGTACAGTGATAGCAGAGTTGAACCTGCTAGCACTTATTTGGTTTAAGAGTCTTTTTAGAGATATGCCGTTGTTCACCAAAAAAAGGTTTATGGATGTTTTAAAACTTAGTAAATTGTAGTTTTTTTATGAACTCGAGTTCTTTTATGACTGACCTCATAATTATACATGGCATCCAGGGATCTGTTGATGCAGTGTCTGCTGGATAGATCGTCACAAGTGATCACTTCCAAACGTAATTATTTATAAAAAAAAAATACATTTAACAGAAATACTACCGGTATTTAAGAGCTTAAATGAATAATAAATGTGCAATGCAGTTTTGACTTTTCTTACCGTCTATATCTAATTATACTGCTGAATTACTGTAATTATTGTGCGCACACTTACATTTCCAAGCTGAATTTAAGTTACCTTTCCTATCAAATTTATGTATTGGACTTGAAGGCAAAATATAAAAGATTTAACTAATTTATATTTAAATAAGGAATTAACGATTTTTATAAAACATGATTATTAATTATTGATGAGCTCCAGTTTTAAAAAGAAAGTTATTGAAAAGCTTTTTTACAAAAAGCACAAATTTTTATGCTTCAAGTAGTTTCGCGAGCCAAAAGCCAAACTATATTCTGGTAAGCTTATGAGCTTATTGGTCTACTAGTCATTACATTACAGCTGCGAGAATTACGGCCACGCTTAAAGAAGACAATTAACTTTTAACTTTAGCTTAAGTTAAAGAGACAACATGATTTATTGAAGGATAAAAAACAATTGACGTTTCCGAATACGGATTAATGTAAAAGAGATAAAAACCTCGAGCATTTGCTAGAAATAACAAATACTCGAGGTAACAAAAGGCCTTTTTAAAGAACACTATGTAAATTTAGAAATAATAAAACCTAAAGAAATTACTTTTGGTATTTAGTATGAAGTCGAATTCTTGATATATATAAAAGGCAATACATGCGTTGATGTCTTTTTCAAGTAATAATTTATTAGCTCTAAATATGAACTATATAAAATACATAATATTCATTAGCATTATAATAAAATGGATTAAAAAACCTGAACTATCTTGAGTCAAATACATAATAGTGAATAACAGAAACAAACTTGATAAGGTACACCGTTAATCAGTAACAAAAAAGCAATCCTCACTGTAACATTGTAGTTTTCTTCAGTTACGATTTTGAAAACTAGTACACATTTTTATTTTTTTAATATTATTCAGAAAACCAATAGGTATAAGAAGTTTTTGACATTACAGTATAATAATTAATGTAAGCATTAAACTGCTATATTTGAATATATGAAGTTATTTTTACTAGAAAAAAATCACTCGGCCCAGGTATAATACAGGGTGGGCCATCTAGCGTTTTAAATTTGAACTATCTATATTTCGACATTGGAAACGTCAAATACCATTCGGAAAGTGACAGATATTCAGTAAAACGCCTAAAATTTACGAAATGGGTCGCTAATCGCTAGAAGAAAACTGGGAAATATTGAAAACTTTTTTCCAAAGTGGTGAGTCTTCAACCCAAACTGTGAGAAATTTGGCAAAAAAAATGGACAGACAAAAAGTGCCATCAGTTCAATTTGTGCAACAATTTGTCAAGCGTGTGCGTGAAACTGGCTCGTTGGTGGATAAACCAAAACGTCAACGTTCATTTCCCGCGCGTTCAACCGAAAATATTGCTACTGTGGCTGAAAGTGTTAGTGAGAATCCATACACCTCAACTCGCCGTCGATCGCAAGAATTGAACATTCCACGAACAACTTTGCGACGAATTTTGCAAAAAGACCTCGCTATGAAACCATATAAAGTTCAATTGGTGCAGCAGCTGAAGCCACTTGACCATACGAGCCGTCTACAGTTCGCAGATTGGGCGGAAGATCGTTTGACCGAGGATGGTCAATTTTACCGAAAAATCATCTTTTCGGACGAGGCTCATTTCCACCTCGGTGGTTACGTTAACAAGCAGAATTGTCGCATTTGGGGCACAGAAAACCCGCACGTAATCGTTGAGAAGCCAATGCACCCAGCACGAGTCACTGTATGGTGCGGATTTTGGTCTGGTGGAATCATCGGCCCATTTTTCTTCGAAAATGAAGAAGGAACCGCCGTAACCATCAATGGTGAGCGATATCGCGCAATGTTATCCAAATTTTTCTTCAAGCAAATTGAAGAGGAAGACTTGGACAACATTTGGTTCCAGCAGGACGGCGCTACGTGCCATACAGCAAACGCTACACTCAATCTTTTACGCCCTATCTTCGAAAATCGCATAATCAGCAAAAGAGGTGATGTGAATTGGCCTGCCAGAAGCTGCGATTTAACTCCGTTGGACTATTTTCTGTGGGGAGCTGTTAAAGGTAAATGTTACGCCAACCATCCAGAAACAATTCAAGATCTAAAGTACGAGATTCAAGCTGCTGTTGCTGCCATAAGGCCTGAAACCATCGAGAAAGTACTCCAAAATTGGGTGGATCGGATAAGCTACTGTAAACTGAGCCGTGGTGGTCATTTGTCCGAAATTGTTTTCCACAAATGAATTTCATAAAACAACCTTTCAAATAAATGTTAGACCTTTGAAAAATATCGCGCCGTTTTTTTTTTTATTGACTTTTAGGTTTAAAATTTTACATGGCCCACCCGTTAGTATTACTTGCATTGAGTTTTGGGAATAATATTACATACACGGGTGTATTGTAATGTTCCGTGCCCAAGGGAGTAGAAGTGAGCTTTTTACTAAGCCTCTGCTGTCCGTCCATCTGGCAGCCCACTGTATCAGTAAACGTACACGTAATAGGCAACCAACAAATTATTTAGCATTCGTATAAATGGAAACTATTGAATTTTTATTGGAATTTAGTATCAAATCATGTACAATCGTAAGGAATCCGTCGTGTGGGAATCCGACTCGAGCTTGGTAGGTTCTTTTCTGAGTATGGTAGTACTTTAGTGCAGTAGCTAAATAATTATTTTCTAACGAGGTTCAGCGAGGACTAATTTATTTGACTGGCCATATATCATTCAATACTTATTAGCATGTTCCGGATATGTAAACTTCCGCGAGATGACGCACGATACCATTTAATATGATTGAAAAAAAATAATACTGTTTTATTAATGAAATCACTATAAAGAACGTAATTTTGCATTTCGATCAGACTACGTAATAATGGTGTGTTACAGTGAGCAGAGCATTATGTTAAGTGAGTGTTAAAGAAGCATCAATAAAATAGAATGTCGACTCACCAGGTTGGGGCTGTTGAGGTTGCGGCTGCGCCCCGGCGGGCGGTGCGGCGTTGGCGGCCGGGTGCGCGGGCCCGGGCTGGTACTGGCGCGGCGCGAGCACGCCACCCGGCGACACCAGCCGCAGCGGCGTGCCGTTGCGCCCACCCATCACTAGCGAACCGGGGTCATAGTACGGTATCACATATTGTCCCTGACCGTTCACCTGCTGCTCCCCCTGCTGGGGAGTCAGCGGCCTTCTCGGCTGTTGCGCTTGTTGCTGGGCGGGTTGGGCGACTAAGCCTGGGTAGACACCCCAGGGTGCCGCCACGCCATAGTATGGTGGTACACCCGCTATGAGGGCGCTGACGTATGGCGCGCCTTCTTGTCCCGCGTTTATGACGTACGGCGCTTGAGTGAAAGCTTGTTGAGCAGCCAACTGTTGTTGTATTTGAAACTGTTGCTGCTGTTGTTGCTGTAGCAACTGTAGTTGCGCCGCTGCCGCCTGTCCACCGGCTGCCGCCGCTTGCTGTGACCGAAACAATTGCTGCAACAAAGAAAATATACATTGAGTAAAAAACAATACAACATTATCAATTTTTATAGGACAACAGAACCCTATTACCCAGACTATGTTCTGTCCATACGTTTATTAACGTGCAAGGTGTATCCCGTAATAATAATAATAGGACAGTTTTTTTTTCAAAAATGGGTATTTCTATTCTAAGTACTACTTACTAGTAATAACGTCTATAAGCTGATGTGATTTATTCGAACCTAATTCAATTCTCAGTTCAATCTTATATCACTCACGAATGTGTTTTTGTTTTAATTACATATTTTAAGTTTCCATATTAAAGATATGAAATTCAGCACAAATCATAGGTTTCCATGGAATCTTTCAATCCCTATTCCACGCACAATGATGATTTTTTCGAAAAAATTAAGAAGATCCCTTTCTCCAAGATCTGCCGGCCTATGCGCTAACTTTTTTGCCATTTACAGTGTGTAACTTAAGAGAAGATTGCATATCCGTCACTGGTTTTCAGGACAAGTATCTTAGTGGCGTTATGATAAAGCAGCAGTGGATCAGTAAATGATGATTTGATGAGGATGAGTGATTATCACTTCTGTTAAAACCAGTTAGCGAATAAGACTACTGGTTATTTTAATACCAAAGGCACCCACCCACCCACGCAATCCACGCGGTACATGGAGATCACAGAAAGTACCGTGGGACGGACGTGTGCGTGTGATATAAAACTGTGCTACGTTACAGCCGTACAAAGTCGTGGATATAATATTCGTGTATAGCTAGTGCTACAGTGGCGGGAGACCCCTCCATTGTAGCACTCGCTATACACGACCCACATTGTCAAATAAAGAACCAACGCAACAAAAATGTGTTGTGTGCTTGTGAACGGGTAGTATATGAGCCAGAGGCGCACGAAGTTTGTATGCGAAATCTATAATTTTTCGCAGACGAAGTGGTAAATGTTTGATGCTAAGCTGCAGGAAATTAATGAGTACAGTTATAAATTTGAAGCTAGGCCACTGCGGTGCTCGCGCACAGTCTACAAGCTGGCTTCGTTGTAAAATTGTTGATTTCGCGTACAGACTAACAAATAAAAACTACTGTCCTTCTCCAGTCCCTTACCTGTCATCTTATCTCTACATAAATTGTCAACACAATCGATCTAGCGTTTAAAGTAAAGACGTGAAAGCATAACAGACAGTTTTATTACTGTGGAATCCATACTAATCCCTATAAATATCACAAATATCACAATGTGGTAATGTCTGTTACCATTTTCCGGTTAAACCGCTGAACTGATTTAGATGAAATTTGGTGAAGAGTAGTTTGAGTCCCGGGAAAGAACAGATAGTGTTTTATTCCAGAAATCAGCATATAAGAAAAAAGTTTGTATGGAAAACTATTTCTTCCACACAAAGTCGCAAGCAACCGCTAGTTCATAATTTTAAGTTGATATGGTTATAATTTCATCAGTATTTATTCCATATTATTTAATGACCTTTTTCTTCTTAATAAAATACTTTCATTTTTAAAACCTTATATATTTTTTATACTTATTTTTCTGTATGAAATCTAGATGTAATCATTTAAACAATGCTAATCGTAGAACTTACGCGGTGCATCGGTTTAATTAATAGGGAATGCATTATTTATTGTTTTTAACCAGCGATTGTCCGCGTTGTTGGAAGGGATTCTCGCGCAGACCACTAATTAACGCACTCGTTTAAAAAGTTAATAACAAGCCCGCACGCTGTCTGCTGCATCTGCTGCTACCGGCAACTTACTACAACACGCGCTTGTAGTCAGTGAAAATGAATATTGGTTTTATAACATTAATTTAATCTACCTTTGTGTACTCGTTTTTAAATTCTATTTGTTAACACTCACAGTGAAGTACGGAAATAACTACATTACTCATTTTTTTTATTTTAAGATGTTCGTGTTATGATACAAATAACATTAAGGTATTATGTAATAATGGCTGAAATACACTAGTGTTACTCGCGATCAGTCGTCTCAAGTATTTTGAATGAAGTGAATCACGAGTTATCCGATGGCGTGTGATGTCATTAGCAGCGGACTCTACCTGTTGGAATTACTTGGCGCTGCTCCAGGGCGGAGTGCGCGAGATCTGTAAACATCACGAAACAGGCCACCAACGTAGGTAGTTCGTGCCGCTGCGTCTATTGCTAACACCTGCGTGAAGATGTAACACTGATTCATCACAAACCGAATTACCTGTGAGGTAGCTAGCCTGTGAGCCCGGGTTTGTTTATTCTTGCTAATAAATGAGTCTCTGCATACTTTTACAGTATTGTCTATATCTTTACACTGTGAAATTCTATGAATATCATGTTTAGCAAGACGTTGTAGATAATTTATTTAGAGGGACTGCCTTCGTTTTGATAACATAATAATAACGATACTAGAAGTTAATGTGACTAACTGATTAAACATAAATTTCGGTGTGCAATAACGTTCACTCCCAATTATAATAATAAAATAGGAGCATGAAACTGTTTCAAAAAATCATTGTAATGAAAGCTTAAAACAGATACCAGCCCACCATCATCATAATTTTAATTAGATCACGCCAACCTTCCCCGGGCCTACTTTATTTTTCATTAGCTAATTGACACAAAATGATTATCTAATGTCAAACTTTGGCGTTGGATAAATCTGAACTCTCGCTAGTAGGTAAGGACATCGCGTTTGATCTCGGATCGTGTCGCGTTCGCCTGGAAGGCAATTTAATTCATTGAGCTTGTGTAATTGTGCTACAACGCTGAACTAGTGTGCGGGAGCGAGCGCTGCACGTGCGCAAAACAGAGCAACTTGACCGCAGCAAAATTAAGTCACCCGTGTGGCTGAGCTGGAAGACGCGGCGGAGGAAACGTCTCGCATTCAATTAGATGTTCAGTAATCCGGCAGCGGCGAGCTTCGATACCAATTACGAGGTTATTAGTGAGACGCTACGTGCGCCCAAGCTCCGTTAGACCTTATCATTTACCTGATTGCTTAAACATTATCTATTTATCGTGTTCTCGCACAAACCAAATTGAGATAATTTTGTAATATAAACTAATTAACGGGTCCAGTAAAAGAAAACAGAATTTCACGTTTGGTTGCTCATTCTGCAGATTATACAACAAGTCATGAAATTCAGAAATAACAACGATTTCATAAAAAAATATTAAAAAACAGGCCTTTGGTAGCTTTTCATTATTTTCATATCTTTTTTAATTTACAATATATTTACATTAGCTTTAAACCATAATTTTGTAATATAAATTAATTAACGGGTCCAGTAAAAGAAAACAGAATTTCACGTTTGGTTGCTCATTCTGTAGGTTACAACAAATCATGAAAATCAGAAATAACAACGACTTCATAAAAAATATTAAAAAACACGCCTTTGGTGGCTTTTCATTATTTTCATATATTTTTAAATTAACAATATATTTACACTAGCTAACAACGATACCCTACACGTTGGGGGAGGTAAAAATGATTGTATATATCCGCACCCCTCTTTAAAGTATAAGAAACCCCTTTGAAATATGTTGTGACAATTCGAATGGCTTTGGGTCAATAAGATACTGTAAGTATTTAAAGATAAAGTTAAGAAAAACTGTGACAGACTGACGCGAGTCAGGCAATACAAATGAACTTTCATAGCAATATCAGACTAATAAATTTTATTCCAGGGATTGAAGTCAATCAGCCCTTAGTCAATATTGTAATCGGTTATCGAATTTTCTGCTTTATGAGTAACTTATTGGTTATTATTGCATTTATTATTCTTTTGTCGCGACAAGGATATTGTATTGTATTATTCCACTGTTTTATAAGAGATATCTTATAATGTATTTTTTTCTGATCTAATAATTTCGGTGCTTTATCAGTGTCCATATATGAAACGGACACTACCGCTTTTGTAAGACCTAACATATGAGATGCATGGAATAAATGAATAATTATGAGTTATACCAAATTAGGACCTTTTGAATTGTGACGACTGTAGTTTGTCAATTTTGTAATTAAAATTGAAGTTAAAGACATGTATATGTATAATGGACTGCAGTCTAAGACACATTATTATTTATGATAAGTTTTCCTCGGTTACTTAAATGTCCCAACACGAACAATATTGCAGTACAATCCATCAACGTTTACAGAGGCGTATAGATGCCGAGTCACGGAGCAGGCGGATAGTGTGCCTGGGCCGCAGCGTAGCGGGCGGGCGGCGTTGCGGCGGCCGTAGTCTTCACCCAGATGGGAGTATTTATTATTTACGAAGAAAATGACGGGCGAAGCGACCCGATATTCTCGCGAGAATCGCAACGTTCCGCCCGTCGTCGTCGACAAACAAATTACGCTACAAAGCAATCAATTATAAGAACAGAACGTAGTCGCACCTCTTGAATCCGTACGCTACGTCAACAAGAAAGCTTTTAGTGACTACGACGGGCGGGGTGCTACGTGCTTCTTGTAAACTAGACAAAGCTTTATATCGTTTCGAGTGTTGTTTGTCGGATGGGTGTGGGAGTTCAGCAAATTCAAAAGAACATTTTAGATTGTAAGAAATTAGATTGTCTATCGAGTATAAAGGTAATTTGGGGGAATCGGAATCGACGGGGCCGGGAGTCGCAACGAGATTACGTGGATATACCAGGGCTGCCGCGTGCTTAGCCGCCGCTCGTGGCTGTCGTATCTTGCTCTAACGAGTTTATCTGCCCTGCGGGCTGCGGTTGATGTTCATCTCTTCTTCTATTAACTAGAAAATGTAATAAAATTCAACTAAAACAATAACCAAGATGACAAGTATAAAATGTTTCATATTTTTTTCAGAAATCAATTTATTTTGCAAATCCTTGTTACTACAGAACTATATCAGATTAAAGAAATATAGATTTTTCAGGTAGGTGACGTAGGCTAGAACATTACCCAAATGCATCCTTGGAAAGCAGAAGCGGGTGGTTTTTTATTTAATAAGTTCAGACACGAACGTA